ATTGTGTATTGGATAAATATTGTCTAAGTTAGCTGTGTATTGGATAAATATTGTCTAAGTTAGCTGTGTATTGGATAAATATTGTCTAAGTTAGCTGTGTATTGGATAAATATTGTCTAAGTTAGCTGTGTATTGCAAAAATAATCTGTATAAGTTTTGTTCGTTATCGATAACATGAAATTCAAAAATCAACGTCAGCAATTAGAATGTTTTTTAATATTCAAGATAACCAATGTTTTCTTCTTTCTCTCAGCCTATTTATCAGAACCAGCAGGTGCATCCATCCCAGCTAAGTTCAAATACTGACCATCTGTCGGAGCTAGACTCTCTCTTGGAAGACCTCAATTCAGCTCGTCTCAGCTCTTCTTCTCCAGAATATAAAGGTATGCATTCTGGCTATATCAATAAAAAAAATCCTATCACGCTGTGTCAGTCACACACACACACGAAAATTTATACTATATATAGTATCAACATGGATGTTAACCTGGACAAACTTTGGTTAAGCTGAAACATGTAGTATATGAGATAAAGGACGTAAGTATTAGGTTTATATCTATCCTATGAGAGCTCATTCACCTACTCATAAGAACGATTAGAAAAAATGAATTCTTTGTAGTTATCAACCCTCGAAATATTGAATTTTTATTTTATTCCAGGTTTAACTACTGGTTTATTTAAAATTTTTAAAAAACAACAAATGTTTTGCTCTATATTTAAACCGATAAATAAGATAAAACAAATTTTAGGCAATAGTAAAGACGAAGTACAATTAATGGATAAATTTGGAATTTATAAAATTGAATGTGAATGTGGAAATATATATATATTGGACAAACAAAACGTAATTTTAAATATCATATAGCCGAACATAAGAGATGTATAAAAAATGAAAACCCAACATAACATATTATGGGAAAAAAAATTCTATTAACTCAACCTAAAGGTATTACAGCAACTATAATAATCGACAATCGCTGGAAATAATGAAATTTAAAAATAATTATAAATTACTAAATAGAGATGAAGGTGCGGCGAATATCTGTCTAAGAATGGGGCAAGACCTGTTCTGATATTTATACCCAAATGCAAAATTACAGACAGGTCACGTGATATTTAAGTAAATATAAAATGTGAAATTTATCTCTTACAACCTCACTCCTAAAGATGACGTGTGACACGTAGAAACATGTAGAGTCATTATTTCGAAATGATTTTAATTGTGTATTGATTTTAACGTTGTATATTTATTAGTTTAATATATTAGTGCATTCCATCATCTAATGCCTGAAAATAAACTCTGTATTGGCTTGTGTAGGGTATTTGTTTATCATGTCCATTGTGGCCGTCCAAGCTTGGTGCATGAATCAAAGTCCCAATTTTAATGTACTAATTTTTGTTTCATACATATGTGTAATAAAATAATTATAATTATATTACGAACGCTAAGTATGAGTGATAATTAACGAGAATACAAACAAATATAAACCTAATACTCACTTTCTTTATCTCATATACTAAATGTTTCAGCTTAACCAAAGTTTGTCACAGGTTAACACCCATGATTATACTGTATACAGTATAAATATTAGTGTGTATGTGTGTGTCATTTTACACTGGGCTACACATAAAAGTTGTTCTAACTTCTTCTAAGTTAAGTGTGCTACATAAACAGACTTGTGTCACTGTTCAAATACCTATTTCTAGCTGGACCAGTCCATGCTGTATGAAGAGAGCATGCATTTTGCTGATGTACGTTAGCACAATTTCCTTGCTGGCTGTAGGACGACTCATAGCCTCTGGCAAACATCCTATGCACATAAACAGAAGTGCAAGCCATTGCGGGGAACACTAGTTTGAAATTATGATTGCAATTCAGGGCATATTTTACTAGAGTGAATGAATGGCCTCAAAATGAGCACATATTAAATGAAAAAAAATCATAAATGAGTCAAAAAGTTAGACATACTCAACACTGGAACACTTATAAGACTAGAATATGTTAATTAAAAGTTCTTCTTTTTTACACCATGCCCTTCTCATATGGTTTATGAAAACTGATCCTTGACTAATATTTATTTTAAATTCCACGTGCCATTGTATTTCAGTTTTGCAAATATTTTCCATTTCTTTGAGTCAGAGCACTTCTAAGCTATCCACTGGTAGAGCAGTTTATTTAACCAGTGACTTAGTTTGCACAAAAAACTCTTATGATATGGAAAGCTACATATACCCACAGTTAAAAGTGCCAGAATCGTTAGTTTGTGGCCAAGATTTTATGACGTAAGTTTACAGTTTGCAAGATCGAGAGATCTAGAGCCAATGTGTATAGTTGTGGGATTGTGACCAATTTCCTATGGCATTTATTGACAGTTTGTGAGATACAGAGCTTTAGAGCAGTGTATGTAGTTGTGGGTTTGTGACCAAGTTCCTGTAACATAGATTTGCAGTTTTCGAGATCCAGAGATCTAGAGCCAATGGGTTTAGTTGAGGGTTTGTGAACAGTTTCCTGTGACATAAATTTACAGCTTGCGAGATCCAGATATCTAGCTAGAATCAGCGTGTACAGTTGTGAATGTGTGACCAAGTTCCTGTGACACAAAAAAATACAGTTTGCGAGATCCAGAGATCTAGAGCCAATATGTATATTTGTGGGATTATGACCAATTTCCTGTTACATAAATTTACAGTTTACAAGAGTCAACGATCTGGAGCCAATTTTATAGTTATGGGTTTGTGACGGTGGATGGCGTTGACTAATCACCTTCCCCCTATTCTATCACTTCTAACTTAGAGAGATCTAGCGCAGAAATCCCTCGAGTAGCATTGCGCGAAATTAAATAAACAAATAAACACACAAACAAATCTCAGTTGTCATAATTTCATTAAAAAAATGTTGTGACACATACTCCTTCGTAGTAGAAATACTCTTTAAAAAGAAACATGTAGTTGGGTGTGGGGTTAAACTAAACCCCACGGAAATATCTCACATGCCGATAAAGCCTAACATCTAGAGGACTTCATCTGCAGAATTTTCGTGCAAAACTACATGAGGGATATCTGCACATATTCGTCCGTAATTGTGATCTGATGGACTAGATAAGATTGCAGGCAGCTAGCTAGCCACCAGCACCTACCATTAATTCTTGAGCTACTCTTATCTGATTGAACAGTGAGCGGAATTTGACCTTCACTTTTATAGCACATCCACGGTCCAAAAGTACAGAGAGAGTTTTTGTTGCAAGGGGACACGAACTTGGGACCCTCGGAGTAATAACCAAGTTACGCATACCATCAGGATATGCTCGGATCCAGAATTAAATTGAGAATGAAATAAACGTCTTACGGTGATTCTCTTGATAAGTAACACTTGCTAGTTAAAAACCTGTTTGTTACTTGTCCAAGAAGCACCACCCCGGCGGTTCAGCGATAATTCTAAGGGATTATAACACTAAAAATCGGGCTTAGATACTAGTGGTGGGCATAGGACTGATGACCCATTCTGTAACAGCTGAATTAAAGAAAAATGTAATATAAAAATTACACTGCAGCGTATTTTCACCACTTATATTAGACGTAATATGAAACTTTTAAGCTGAATGTACAAGACAACTATATATTTAAAACTTTCATATATACTTTGGTTGATTTATTTAACAATAAATTTCATTTTTTACTTCTTAACATTATGAAATATACTGAACTACTCATGGTATCTGCATTACGTATAAACATGCTATTCATAAACAGAAAAGTTTCTATTTGGTCTTTAAGATTAATTATTTTCTGATATTTAGAGAGTTTCCCATTCCTTAGTTCTAGCATTTATAGCGTTTCAATAATGAACATTTATAGCGTTTCAATAATGAACATTTATAGCGTTTCAATAATGAAATGAAATGTGTACTTCCTTTCACATTGGTTTTAAGTGCTCTTCCTGTTCGCAAATGTCCAGGCCAATTATTTAATTGTAGAGGGAAAACATTTAAGTTTTTATTGGCAAAAACAATATAGGGAGTTATCTTTATATATATGTGTATATATATATATATATATATATATTAGTAGAAATTTGTCCCGTATCTTTAGTTTTTTTTTAAATTACAATACTAGAGTTACGTAAA